AGCGGCTGGGGTGCTGCAGGGTTAGTCCTGCAGCCCCGAAGGGCAGCGCTACGAGACCAACCCGGCAGCACCCCAGCTGCTCTGCTCCCAGCTTCCCCGATTCAGCTGCTGGTCAATTTCAGCAGCAGCTGAATGGGGGAAGCCTGTCCTGCTGCCCCAGCACTTCCGGGTTCCTGATGGTGCCGGACCATCAGGAGTCCCGGAGCATTGGATGCTGGACTAATGAAGTTTTACTGTATCTGTCTATGAGCTATGATGATATGAACATTAAAAGTTTTTTTGGCTTAACAAAAGCTCTTCATATTTTGTGTGTGCGCGCGCTCGAGGTGGGGGAGGAGTTGGAGGGGGTTAATCAGTGTGTTAGTGACAGTGGTAATTGAAGCTCATTCCTTATCTAAATGATATAGTGAGAAACCCTTAGTTGCTACTATGTTGTTAATTTGTGGGTTTTCTTTTAACTACTTTTTTTAATTGAGAGACATTAGTGTAGTAATTGCTTGTTTTTGCTGACTGCTCATTTTTAAAAGCAGAATTAAGAGGATGAATAGTGTTACTATTTGTGTTTCCACTGAGTAAAAGCTTACCATAAGCAAGTAAAAAGTGAATGGAAAACTACGCTGTGTTTTGTTTATACATTGATGAGGTAAAGACCACCAGCCTCTCCAAATGAGGCATTTTCCATGTCAACTTTCCATCTGGTCTGTAGTTTGGTACCTTTAAGAAACACTTAAGTGCATTCCTGAATCAGGGCTTAAGCATGAGATTATTTTAATATTCAGGAAAGCATTTGAGCATGTGTTTAAGGGTCTTTCCTGAAAAAGGGCCTAGAAAGTAGTTGTCAGAATTTGCTCTCATTAGTAAAGTTTACTGACCCTGAGTAAAGGATCATAGGGTCGGATCCTACATGTATCACAATACTTTTCCAAATAAGTTTGTATATTAGCTCATGTAATAAAGATGTTCATACATATTTTAATTTTTAATACTGTAACTCAATAAATCTTATCTACAAGCTTATTAGACTGCTTGTTATGCAATATAGTATAAGTATTTGGCAATTTGCTTCTATTCACTTTCTGATTAGAGTTGTTTTAATTTTATGAACCTTTTTCAGCTGTTTTCCTTTTTTTTGTGTGTGTGTGTGTCTGTCTTTTTGATATATATGTATATATCTTAAACTACATAACTGGATCTTATTTCTCCATTGTAGTTTATCCTTGTGTGGACCTATGGCAGCATATGTGAATCCTCATGGATATGTCCATGAGACCCTTACAGTATACAAAGCCTGCAACTTGAATCTGAATGGCCGACCTTCTACAGAGCACAGTTGGTTTCCTGGGTAAAATAGTATTTCTTTCTTCTAATAATCTAGTCCAGAATTACAAAATACAGTTCAGAAATCTTATTAGCAAATAATAGAAGTTCATATTTCTGACTTCAGTACATTCTGGCCTGCAAACATTGAGAAGCAGACATTTTGTTATTTTCTAAAACTCTTAAATGATCGTTAAACTATTCTAAATGAAGGAAAAAGTAAATTTAGTATTCCTCCTTAATCTATTATAAATTAGAGAAGTAGGATAAAATGTATTCAGAATTCTCTTGTGCCTTTTAAATTCTGTATACATTTTACCACATTTGAGAAGTTGTTTTGGAATAATTTTCTTTGAATTATCCAACTAACATCTTGATAAATAACTTGATAAATGAGTGTAGCCAAATGACCTCAGTCAGGTGTCAGACCTCCATTATAAAATGGACACTGTGTCCCCAAAGGGTTTGCAGTCTTTCTCAGAGCTAGAGAAAGAACCAGCAGCTAATATCTGTTAGCAATGGAAATACATCTTTCATTCTTTCTAAAAACATTCTCCAGAATATTACTATTACTTCCTCCTGTAGTCCCCATTTAAATTGCCTTCTGTATGTAATTTGCAGCGCTAGAACTTTCCACATAGTAAACTATGAATGTCATTATGACTAGAGATTATTTACGTCTCTGAGGATCTTATTTTTCAACTGCTTGTTTATATTGCTTGTGGTTGGGAATTCTGTTTTTCATGAACTAAAATGTATACATGTCTATACATTTTATTCATGTTAAGTACATTCATCTTATGTACTTCAAGTGGTGCACACTTTAATACTGACTCCTGACTACTGATTCATCGCTATCCTTGAAAGGGATTAAATGTAATTTACATATATTCTCCCTCAGTCTCCTCAATCGATCTTTAATGCTCTGTTCTTAAAAATGCCAAGTGAAATATTTATTGTATTTATAATTTCAGAATTATGTGATTTTACTCATATTGTCTGGAAAAAAAAATTACAAGGAAAATCTCATGTATAAATCATACAAGTGGACAATTAACTTCTTAAATAAGATGGAGATTTTGAATACCCACCTTTTAAAATAAAATGGAAAATCTGCTGGATAGTGATCAGCTAATGCTTCAAGGACAACTTTTAAATTATCTGTTTAGAGCAATGGTTCTCAAAGTTTGGTCCGTGGACCAATGGTGGTCTGTGGCCACCTCTCAGATGGTCCATAGTTCAATCTCAGCCCCCACCCCTCCTCTTCTCCCATGAGGTGGGGAGCCCGCATTGTCTTCCCGCTGGGTAGAAAAGGAAGGGGGGCTGAGCTCTTCCCTCCGCCCTGCTGGGGGAACGGCAGTGAGGCTTTCCCCACTGCTGCCATTGGCTGGTGTTACCTGGGCAGTGGTCTTGACAGTGCCCGGTGGGGAAGCAGCAATCCGCTCACCTCGCCTCTGCTGGGAGCCCTCCAGCACTGCTGCAACCCAGCATCCAGCCCTGCCTGCGGTGAGCAGGCTCTGCTAGATTGGAGATCGTTATCCACCTCCCCGTGCTGTGCCGTGGCATCTGCCTGCATTCTCTGTCACCTCCAGATACTGACTGTGGAAGATGTCATGCCAGCTGCTGGAGAAACCCTGGGAGCGGTAGGGCTTGCACTGTCACGCTACAGGCCTGGGGAAACATCCAGAGGAGACTGAAGGTCTTTCCCCCTCGAGACCTGCCCATCCTGCCTTCTGCTCAGTGGTGCAGGCAGCTGCATTTCCGAGGCGGGGGGGACAAGTTGCTCTATAGTGCAGCCGTGCAGAGTGGGGCTCCTCCAGAAGCCACTGGAGGGGGCTGCCTGTTTCCCCAGGAAGCCAGGAGGATGCATGTCAAGGAGTGGAGTTACTAGGGAACTCTGTCCCTCACTTTCAGCCATCACTGAAGAGCTGGTGTAAATCAAGAAACGCTTCTGTATTGCTCTGTGCCCTATGCAGCCTCACCCCCTAGCTTGTTCTATACAACCGTGAAAAACTATCTGGAATATCAAAATTTCTGTGCTGACAAGGTACCATTTAGGTTGCCATAAACAAAAAACCAGTGCAGAGGACAATAGAGGAGCCCTCCAGCACTGAAACAGGTAGTGATTCTAAACATTTGGTTCTTCTGTTTAGAAACAATAGCCTGCAGGATTGTGCTACTTCTGATAACAATATATTGTAGGAGCAATTCCTACTACCAGTAGCACAGTCTTACAAGAGAGCAGCTCTCTACCAACCACCAACCAATGGGAACAAAGGAAGTGCAAAGACAGATGAGCACCGCTCTAATGCTCAGACCCTCGCACACCAATCCCCTTCACTTACTGCCCCCCCCCCTGCCAAGACCCTGCACCCCCCCATTGCTCCTGTACCTTCCCTCCTGGCCAGACACCTTCCTGCCCAGCCAGACACCCTACCCCCAGCCTGCTCCTGCACCCTCCCTCCTGACCACACACTGTACCCTCCCTTGTTTTTGCTCCCTCCCCCTGGCCAGACACTCTACTTCCAGCCTGCTTCTGCACCCTACCTCCTGCCCATATCCTGCACCCCATCTCTATCCCACTCGCCGGTAGCCCTGTCCCACCCACTGAACCCCTCATTTTTTCCCCACCCCAGAACCTAAGGCGGTCCAAAAAATCCAGTATCTCCAGAACCCCAGAAAAGTAAATCTGGCCTATGGAAAGCCCTGAATCTCAGACTCCCTGTCCCTTCCCATCACCCTGTGGGGATGGAATACCAGAGGAATGAGGTGTCACAGTTAGGGGCCACATCAGTGAAGATTGAAGGTTTTTTGCAGGAGTTGTGTGGGGTATGGTTTTGTTTTTGCTTCTCAGTTGTGTGGTCCCAAACTGATATTTTTGTGGGTCAGTGGCCCCCAACCCAAAAGAGGTTCCTCACCCGTGCCATAAGTGAAGAAAACATTTGAAACCTTTTGTGTTGGACATAAATTAATATTTTACTTTATTTAAAATGAAGTTTGATAAACTAACCTGAGAAAGTTAAAAGGCTTAATCTGTTTAATAATTTAATTTAAACTGTTCTCCCAAGCAACAACACTAGCAAAATGGCTTGTGTGTAATTATGTAATCAACGGTGAGTTTCCATTAGCAACCTGTGGTCCACAGGCCAAAAAGTTTGAGAACCACTGATTTAGAAACAGTTCAGCTTCTGAAGCAAATCAGTGGGATATTTATTTCCCAAGAGTTTCTCTGTCTGTGACATACAGAGTGTTTTCCATAAACTTGTCTAATTATTTCTATAGAGCCAGTCTTGTCCCTACAAAAAGCACAAACAACAAGATTGTAATTTTAAATGGGGAGTAATACAGCATAAACAGATAAATTCTGGAGAAATGCCATATATCTGTGTATCTATCTTTAGTGATAAACAATTGAAAGGCAAATGCAGAAAATATGATGCATAAGTGGAATTGTTTCTATATAGAATATTTTAAAAATCCATGAACTGTCTGCTATGCTTTAATAATAATGGAAAAATAGAAATATTACCATATCCGGATATTGATTTAATATGCAGTGCTCCTGTTTGAGAAAGTAAAATATTTGTTTTTTTCAAAATAACAGAGGTGTTTATTTCTGAGTCATTTTAGAAGTAACCTCTATTGTATGTAGTGTGTGGCTGGAATAATTACCTATTTTTGTTAGTTTATTCATGAACCATTTTAGAAATAATCATTTTAGCACTTGTAACACTGCTGGACTAGCTGCCTAATTTTGAAGCTATTGAGTTCCAAGCACTTTAAAAAGTGAATAAACTTCTGCAAGTAAAAGATGCAAATAAAATCCTTTTTTACTAAATTGGAGATACAATTCTTGCACCTGTACATTTTTATCAAATCCTTCCAAAAAGCAGAGGAGAAACTGAACAAATTTTAGACCAAAGTTGTTCATGGTTTATCCATGGAGTTTTATTTTAAAAAGAACAAGTCTTAGTAAGGGGAAGTGATGCACATCAGTTTCTCAGATAAAATTACATTAATGATTTTTTGAAAGCTTGATTCCAACTTGTGCAACCAATAAGAGTTGCATTTGTATAACTGGATTCCTGTATTAAAGTGTTTTCCCCATTACCTCAGCCTGTCCTGAGGTCTCTCTTCTAAAATATCAGGATATGGACCTATTGGATGTGAGGGTTTGATTTTTGTTTGTTTGTTTGTTTGTTTGTTTTATTTCTGTCCTTTATCTTTTACTTTCTTAATCAACCAATATGAGCCTTTCAACTGAAATGTATGGTCCCTTAAAGCTGCTATCCATACCTCCTTTCATCCCACAACCATTCAACCTTTTGGTTTGAATAGACAAGCATATTTTAGAATAATTTAAAAATCAACTTCAAACCTTTAACCCCATCATAATTCACATATACTGTAATTTAAAATTTAGGTTGTGTTCTACAACTCTGTCCTTAACTTTAATCCATAAATGGATTTCTGCCTCTTTCGGTCCCATACTATCAGAAATAATTCCCTCATCTGATTTAACTCACTTTAAACCAGCAAGTTCTCTATGGTAAGCTATTGTCTCTCAAAGAAACTGGATTTTGCATTCATTTGTTGACTTAAACATATAGCTAACATAATAGCTATTCCATGGTACTTGACTAATTTGCACACATGTAAAATTGCGCTTTCTCACCTTGCTGCTTAGTTTACCTCAAAGTTGACCTGTCAGAGCTGAATAATGTAGATAGGAGGAGATTAGCAGGGTTTATGGAACGACCAGTTTACTAACTGCTCTCAGAGGATCCTTTTTCCTTTCACACATTCATCACAGAAGTCATTTGGTGATTCATATTATCTATTCCAAAGTTACTTCTTACTTCTCACCCTCAGATGTTTCCTCTGTCCTTTTTCTCCTCTAGAGAATATTTGTGTTCTTCCTTTTGAAGCTTTTAAGAGAAAAATTCTATTGCTCAGACAAGCTAGATGCCACATTTTTTTTAAATCCATCAGAAACCGAACCCCCCTCCCCCCACTTTCCTGTTAAATATCTCCTTAATGTCTTTAGAGCAAGTCAATCATAATACACTTAAGTATTTTATGCTCCTGTACTGGCATACAATAATTAGTCCTATTACTGAGTTTAGTGCCCATGTCCTGTTAAAAAATGAATGAGAATTGGGTGCCTGAATCCCTTAAACCCATTTGAAAATCCCAAATGAAGCATATATTTTATTCTTACTGAATTACTTACCTGTGTTTCAGTTCCATTAAAATGTTTTGATGAATGATAATGTGACTCCTACTAAAAATACTCTTCTCTCTTTTTTTTAAAGATATGCATGGACTATAGCCCAGTGCAGAATCTGTGGGAATCACATGGGGTGGAAGTTCACAGCTGCTAAAAAAGATCTGTCTCCTCAAAAATTCTGGGGATTGACCCGCTCTGCTCTCCTGCCTAGAATTCCAGAAATGGAAGATGGATCAGTCCATAATAGATCACCATTACTTTGCTTGTAATCTAGTAATCTGTTTTTGGAATGAAAAAGCAATCACCAGAGTGTGTCAGTTGAATATGCTCAATGTTACTTCTGATGCTTGCATTCTTAAATAAGTTTAAGAAATGAAAGCAAAGACAGACAGGCATCATTAAAATTGGGTTTGGTGCACAGACAAAATACTGTTATTTCCCGATACTCTGGGAATTGAATGTTGTATTTTCAAATTTTGACCACTGGGAAGAGAAGCATAGTGAGAGACCAGCAAATGCATCTGATTCTAGGAATGTTAGATAAATGCTGAAACAGTTACTCCAACTTACCACTGTATAATTTAAGAAGATATTTACTGCTATTGAATTAAGGCAAAAGATAAATCAAATAGACAGTATTTGATTCATACAATTTACGTATGATAGTAAATATCAAGTTTTGTTTGTGGGATATTGGCTACTAGCATACTTTAAGTAGATTTGGCTGAGAAATTTTTGTTTCTAACTATATGAAATACTCTTATGTTCACACTGCTCTTTTTAAATGTTTGCCCAAATATCAAAGAATGTATGAGGTCTAAACCTCTTTACTGATTGATGTTCCATTGGTTAGTGTCATCCTTGTAGTGATGCTGTAAATGATAGAAGCCAAGCACTTACTGATATCCGCTGCTAAAGCAACTACTGTATAAAATTCCTTTTTAAAGGAATCCTGTATCAATTGTTTTGTCCTTATCAGTTATTTCATATACTTAGCATGTTTGACATGTTGATCAGCAATCATTTAAAAACAAAATTACTAAAATGTACAAGTTTATTCCGGTGCATTAAAATATATTGCCATTTAATTCCATAATATATTAATACATTTCAGTCAGTAAAATTAAATAGGTTTACATTTATAAAACAATTTCCTTCTGAAGCTTAATTATCTTTTATACATGCCTAAAGTTTGGTGAAGTATTTCACAGATTACTTAATATTTGAAATCACTCACATTTTGACGAGGGCAGAGCAGCATATCTTTACTGCTTTTTACCTTTGCATATCATAAGTGAAAGACTGTGTATTTATCATTCTTTCCTGATAAAGAAGTAATGTTTCTATATAAAGTAGAAATCAAAGGCAGGTTTGTTTTTGAAACACTGCACGACAGAAAAGGGTGCCAAAAAGGGTGCAGCTTTTGCAGTTTTTTTCAGAATGCACTTTGTTGGTAGAATCTGAAGAAGACAGATTTCTCCCATATATTTTTTTCTTGTGAGGCTCTTCTGTTCATTCTTTATTTGTTCAAACTAAATCTTAGAAATCCTGTGTGTATGGTTACTTGTATTGTTAAAGCAAAATTATACTAGAATGCTTAACATTATATTTATGAAATGTTTCATCCATCCCCACATACTATGATTGTTTGTATATTTTACGTAGTATTAATATGTAACTCCAGTAATGGAATAAGGACAAGTATCTTTGAGACCAGAAGCTGACTTTACTAATAATGCCATGGTGTTATTGTATTGCAGTCAAAAACAGATTTTCAGGTAATACAAGATGTTGTATGCTGAAAGGATATTAGAAAACTTTGTTAGATATCTAAAGAGAAATGATGGTGTAACTCAGGTTTAGTTTCTTGAAGCCTTCTACCTCTGTGTTTCTATGATGTTTTTTGTTATCCCATATACATTGGTAAAATCAAATTTAAGTTTATGCTACAACATTCTTACCAGTGAGCTGGGAAAAGCAATATTAGCTGAAACATAATTCTGAACAGATAGAGGGTTAAAGATTATTCATTTTCTTAAAGCATTCTAGATTTTCCTCGGTTTTTTTACTCAGCTTTCAAAAAACTGAAATAATGTTAAGTGCTAGTGTGAAAGAGCAAGAGTCGTTGAGCTATCTGTACTATACTCATTTGAATCACATTGAGGGTGTGTTTTTCCTAATGTAGTAAACACAAAAACATATAGTTAGATTTTTTTTTTCAAAGGTACTAAGCACCTGAGGTTCCCATTGACATTAATGAGCTTTGTGGATGCCTAGCACTTCTGAAAATCAAGTCATTTTCTGTTAATGTTCACTGAGTTGCGGTGAGTGATTTTTTTTTTTTTCCAGAAAGAATGTTGTCTTCAGCTATCACCAAACCTAATAGCATGGTTTTATTTTTGGCTAGGTCTGTATCAGATTGCCTCAACTCAAAATATCAGAATAACATTGTGCGATAATATTTGACCATGAAGTAGGCATATTTTTGGTATTGTGCATATATAAAAATGTAAAACTAATATAATTGAGTGAGGTTAGTCAGACGTTAATTTAGCACTAATTTAAAGTTTTTCACTCTGTCTAAACTTCTGTGTAATTTTTACCATTACCAAAGTTCATGGCATTTTCTAAGTTGAAAACATGTGTGAGTCAGGTTAATTGCAAAGAAGATAAATCCTGTTGAGGGACACCTAGCCATTAAAATCTACCACTGTTGTAGGGATCCTTATTATGTAAAATATGTGTTTTATAGTATGGAAGTAGAATTGTAAAAGGTTCTCTGTACATTAGTTAGATTTTTCTATGCTTAGAAAAATGGGGTTTCTTTTTGGGGGAAGAACTACTACAATGTTAGGATTGTCAGCTGTTATCAGTAAATTATTCACAAATATTGTACAGAAATTACTTACTTCTAAGATCCAAGTACTAAACAAATCAGTAAATATCATGAAAATAGTTGTTTCACATTCATCGGTTTAAAGCCATTATTGCAGTAGCATTAGGATACCACATTGATCTGATAGACTATTTCACTAACAAATATCAAGATTTCAGAATATCTTTTAAATTTTGGTGCAGAAACAGAACCATAATGAAATGGTTCGTTGTTGCATGCAGCTTTTTCTGTTCTAAAGTGTTTTGGAATTCTATATCTTTTATTTTATAATAATGCTATTTTTGTACATGAAACATTTTGTTCATCCACCTGTTTTTCATCTGACTGTTTAAAACTCCTTTTAAAAGTTGCAGTTAGGGTAGCACGCTCTGCTTTAACTGTTCCTTTCTCTGCCTTTTGAAACAAGTTTTCAGAAAATCTCATTGCTTGCAGACATTTGTAAAAAATAAAACTCTTTCAAACGTATTTCAAAACAAATGCCTAGGATAATGTTTTTGGGTGGTACTTGGGCTGGGAAATAAAGATAGCATTCAGTTTTGTATTATTTAGATTGTGTTGGCATCCAGATCCCCTAGGTGTGCTCTAAAATACAGAGGATACTGTTTCCACTTCCAAGAGTGTGAACACTAAGGCCATATCTCCACTTACTCTGTGCTCTGGTGATCGTTCTTCAGGGGTTCAATTTTAGCTGATCTAGTAAAGACCCACTAAATTGAACACTGATAGCATTCCCATCGGCACCGGTACACGTCGCTGTCGCAGGGAGTAAGGGAATTCAACGGGAGCATTTCTCCCATTGTCCTGCTGTGGAAATGGCACCAAGCTTGTGTGACTGACCAGGCCGGGTCTGGGCACCGCTGAGGGCGTCTGCTCAGGGCGAATTGCTCAAAACCAGGGCTCCTTACAGCCCTAGACTGGAAACCTTTCCAAAACAAGTCACAAACCAGTCACACAGAGTACTTCAGCTGCCAATCTGGCCAGCAAGGAAACCTCATGAGCAAAACCCCTCGAGCATCCCAGCTGTCTCTGTGCCACAATCAGCCCTGAGCTTTACACACAGGTGAGAAGTTATAGAACTCAATCTCATCTACTCCGAACGAATCCTCCCAGTCCCAAAGAACCAGCCACAAATCCCAGGCCAATTTATACTTTGGATTTTACCCACAAGATCACACTTGTGGGCCAGTCCTTTAGAATCTAAAATCTAAAGGTTTATTAACAAAAGAAAGAAAAGGTTGTAAGTAAGGTTGTTAAGGAGAATACATTGCATACATCAATCACCAAGTTCCTGATGCGGGCTCTTAGTAAAGATGTTACAAAGAGCTAGCTTAGACGTCTTCGTTGTACAGCCTATGCCAGGATGGGTCAGCAATCCTTTAGGGCTTCCTGGCCCTAGCAAGGCTGCATCTGGGATCAGTAGCAAGATTGAAGACAAGGTGGAGACCACCTCATGGCATTTTATATCCATCATCATCATCCTGGTGTCTCTCAAGCTGGAGCAGGTCACATGGTCAGGTGACCTGTCTGTTTCACGTGCTGGCAGCCATGACTGGTTTTCAGACGCATTCCTCAGGTGTGAATTGGCCACCCTGAGAGCCATTGTCCTTGGAGCTGTGCTAGTTAGCATAGTCACTCATTGGACATTCCTTCCTTGTGACAGGCAGTCCGTTCACAGTATCCGCACAGAATCCATATTTATAACGCCACATACAAACATCACACAAGTACAAGAGTAGCATACATAGAATCGGACATAAGCTTTCATTTGACACCTCACCTGGCTCACTTTGTATCAAATTTGGGGAACCCCCCCCCCCCGGCCCTCAAATGGGCACAGCAGTGATCTGTCTGCTCACTTTAAAATCCAATAACGTGACAGCTTGGTTTAAGGTCTGTCAGGTCCATGTTATTTATGTAGCTGGAGTTGCATATATTAAGCTGACCATCCAGTTATAGTATAGACCTGGCCTGAAAAGGCAAAGGAGGACAAAAGGTGTAAGAATCATACAATATATACACAAAATGGTGCACACATAGCTCAGCAGTTTTACTGGATTTGTTTTGTTTTTGAAGAGGGGGGTTTAGATGAAACACTAAAGTCCTTCTTCCTTTACTGCTTTTCCCTTCTCCATGAGCTCTTTACCTTATAGCCCTTTTAGGGTGACACACATCCCTGAATTGAAGGAGACAATCCTGAAATATAGTTTAAGTCCCAGTCCTGGCCTGAATGACACCAGGGCAGCATTTTGTATTACTGCCAAATTCCAGGTGAATCTTGCCCCATTCCTTGTTTTCACCAATGCTGGTATATAGCTAAGTTTCTGCATAGGCTTTTCAGATCAGACAGCGTTCAGACTGTGGAAGTGATTGCTATTTTTAGCATATTCCAGCACTTTATAATCACATGGCTGAAAAGTTATTCAGAGCTACATTTATGCATTTCTAGCTTCTTCCTGGCCCCAAAAGATCTAGCATGCGAGGAAAAACTGTGAATGCATTTTCTCAAACAAGTTGTACAAATGTAAGCTGTACAACTTCTTTTTTGGAAAGATCTCACACTTTTTAGCATTGTGCAAATCCACTCAGGATTAAATGCACAACTATTATGTTGGGCATAGATTCTGCCTAGAAATGTAAGCATACACCATGCGAAGAGACCAGATTCCAAGCTGTATGTGCATTTTAGGTAGAGTTGTCTAAAGCTATTATGATTAAATGAGGCTCTACAACTTGTACTTAAGGTTATATGCAGGTAGTGGAGCATGTTGAATTGAATTTCAGACTTTCAAAGAACGATTGTGTTATCAGTTTATAAAAAAATTACCTAAAATGTCAAGACTTTAAATCCTTGTCCTTTTTCAGGTACTGATAATGAAGGGTGCTGATAGCTCCTTTAGCACTAACAGTCTGTTAAAGTAACAATCTTTACTATTCCACTGAAATTTGAGAAGGATTTTGGAGGGGGGAGAGAATTATTAGACTATAACCAGTCATGCGTCAAAGTGTTCTATAGGATTTGCTGATTTATTGACGCTTCTAAGAAAGGTCAACCACCTGAATAAAATCAGTGATAAAATACTTGATAAGGATAAAGATGATATCACGGGCTTTATTTAATCCATAGAGAAATTACAAGGGGTCTGGAATGGCAGCATGTTCTATGACTTCCTTAATCTTTGTGTGACTTTAAAAAGATAAATATGACTTTTAGAGGACTTAGAGGACAAATTGATTGCAAAGCTTCATCTATGTCTGAATACAACAGCACTTGTCTATAAAAGGCTGCAATTTGTATTTTATTCTCTGTGCACATTTTCCTCACCCAGTAGTAATTCCATTTGTAATATGTAGGAACAAAAAGGTTAGTATTGTCATAAAAACTATCATCTGAGACTGACAGAATCTCACTGAAGTTAATGAGCCTTCATATCTATACCAGATGGACAAGTAAAATAAGGATAATGCTTTGCCTTCGCATTCATCCAAATGGATCTCAATGCATAAACACTGATTGTACATGCTATAGAGGAATCAATCAATCACTCTTTCTCCAAATTAAGTATAGCAGTGTATGAGGTAAAACACAGAACACTCTACCAGAGCACAACAGGCATTCACAAAAATTTAGGGAGTAAAGATTAACTTTCAGTAATGAAAGCATAGGGGAGAAGTTAATACTTAGTTAGTATTCAGGTATAGGCCTCTGCTGTTAAAATGCGGCTAAAGTATTGTCATTTTCTTTTGGTGAATGAGGAAGGGAGAAGTGACTTGCAGGAGGTAATCAAATGATTCAGTATGAAGCAAGAACAGCTTTCAGGGTGCAGGATACAGGCAAGAGTTCTATCTATGAGCCACTTTATATCCAGGTAGGCACAGTATAATTGACCAAGCTTTTCTATGGAAATGTTCATGGCATTTGTGCTGACCACAAACAGGGGCCATGTTCTATATTTCATTCAAAAGACAATAGGTATTTTTTTAAAGTGTTTGAGTTATTGAGGAGCCAAGCCCAATAGACTCTCATTAATAAAAAAAGGATATACAGGACTGCACAAATAAGCCAGAACATGAACTCCTGTACATTGGTAAATTCATTCATGGAGCGATCACAGTTTCTACCAATTGAAGATCTGGCCCATAGTATTATTGTTATTCCTCAAATAACAATACAGCTCAAAAATCTCAACTCCAAGGCAAGCAAAAGATTCATTTATATTGTGTTTGAACAGTGGAATGAAGCTATAGGTAAGAAAACTGTATTACGGTGAAGGAGGCTGTCCATGTCACACAATGAGCAATAGTAAGAATATTACAAACTGCTTCTTTGGTTTTATTATGCGTTGCAATCAGTACCATGACCCTGATTCTTGAGCTGTGCTTGAAGGATAATGGCAGTTGCAGAGAGTTGTTTGCTACTACTAATCCTTTGACACCTGGCCCTTGTGGAAGTTAGAACAACAGGGAGAGTCTGGGAGCTTGGTCAGTGGCATAAGGTCCATAATGGACTAGCACACTCCACTGTTTTCCATCTTACCCCTTGCAAGGACTTGCCTTGCCCTTTCCCCTGCCGTTAGTTCTGGTTACACCGCAGAAAGGAAATTCTCTACCCATAATCTGTAGTTATGTTATAACTGCCTTGTGCAAAACGGCTTTAGCAGACCAACTCTGCCACTTGCTGAGAACAAATGCTGGAGGGAAAAGTGAGAATAACACAAAATGTAAGAACCTGCCGATTGTAACTTGCATCCATGAGCTGTAATGTACTGGGGCCATGTTAGCACCGTCTTGGTCAGTTTGAATATGTAGTGTGTGGTCCTTGTGATAAAATATACTACAATTACATTAGAAATGTATTTGTTGTACTGTGACATTGCCCAACACCTAGGAATAACAGTTGCTTTCAGGGAGCGTAAGGTGTCAATTAAACTTTGTGTCAGAAAGTAAAATTAGGTTTAAATAATCATTTTCTCATGTAAAGGAAACAGGTTTGTCTTTTTTTTTAAAAGTCATCTTATGGCAAATGCTGGATAAGCCCCTTCATAAATCAAACTGTGTCTATTTGTGGGTGAATTCTATATCCTGTACTAGGAATAAGAGATAAGACTTTCAAGAGAGGAGAAAAAATAAAAATGCTGCTTTTGTCATTAGTGTACTGTCTGGGCAGCTGCAAAATCGTAATGATTTAACTCTGGATTTGTTGGAGTATGCTTTCTTTCATATTTGCAATTTAGGAAGCCAAACAAAGTCATCATATTATTCTTTCTTGCCTTGCTGTTGCATCTAGGAGCTTTAGTAATGGACAACTGCTCAGCTGTGCTACAAATATACAACTACAAATACAACTGCAAAAGAAGGTTGCTGCCTTAAAAGATGTTACCTTGCCCTTCTGTTATGCAATAAACTTTCAAGATATTTAAAATAATAAATCTTCAATGCTCTGTAAAGGAAGGCATATTACATTATGCTAGATAAACTGA